GTTCTGTCACCCTGGTTTGTTAAGATCATGATATTACTTAAGTTTAAGGCCAAAGTTTTTCTTCCTTTAAGGCATAAAGATCCTTCCATATGATAAGTAAACAAACAACAACTCACAGACTTAAAGAGCAGGAAAGGTTTTTTTGCTTTTTACACTCCACCATCATCCTTTAGTCTCTTGCTCTGCCAGTGTTTGTGTCACAACAGCGGAGTGTGTTAATAAAGCATTAGGATGAATCACCACCTGGCCTGTGGCGTGTTGTTATCCAGACACACCCACTCCCCAGAGAAGCCCAGACCTGTTCCGTAAGAGACACACGACACCACAGGAGAAGAAGTAGGTTGGCAGTGCCTCTTCCTGACAGATTAGACAAATAAATAAACAGGCCTGCAGGGACGTAAGAGGGCTGATGAGAGATAATGGAAGGTTCCAGTGGTTGAAAGATGGCTGTGTGGGTGGGTGTGCTTGTGGATCATTTACTCATGTCAGTTAGTGAGTAAAAAATAATTACTGAGCATAATGCAAACCTGATTACCAGGGTCTAACTTAAAGCTGGATTTTTTTTGTCAGGTACCCTGGGCCTGCTCCTGAAGTCCCAGGAGATGCACTGAAGCTTAATCTGTAAAGCTGTTTTCAGATGAACTCCACAAAAGTGGATCTGGACATTATCTTGTGTTTGTCTTTCACATATAGAGGCAGCAGCAGGAAACAGTCCAGGTCAGACACATTCAAAACAACGGGAAAATGTCTGGAACATTCGGGTTGAGCATGTAGGAGGCAGGACATGACGTATAAATTCCGCTGCGGAAATTACATATTTTTGTTTATAGCACATCAAAACCATCATAGGCCCTCATTGGCCAAAGCTCTCGAATCTGGTTGTCTTTCCAAGTTGACATTTTCGCTAGTGTCCTCTGTGTACAGCTCCTCTTTTTCATCCTGAAAAAAAAAGCAAGGGATTAAAATAATAACAAACTGCAGCACTTTTTACACTGTATGCTCCCTAGAGGATACCTACCTCCTCCAATTTAGCAAAGTGTACTTCTCACATCTTCCATTCCACTCTAAATAAATCAAATAAAGGAGATTGTATGAACCAGCTCATTCAATCAAAGTGTGTGCAGGCTTTAACATGAAAGTTTGCATTACATCATGAAGACACTCACATTTTCCTAAAGGGGCTGATGCCACTATTGGTTATCAGCCCTCACGGTGAACTCTTCCCTTTCACACTTCTAATCCTGAGTCATGCTGCAAATTATGTGTAAGAACTTGTTCATATGCAAGGAAGAGGTGGGATTTCACTCTCATTTGTTGTGTAACCATTAATCTCCTTAGTATACTTATTCCATCTCACTACCAGGCCAGAACAAAGACACTGTGTCAGAGAGCTTGTTTGCCTTTTTATAAGTAAATTCAGGATTCTGTGATAACTGCACAACAAATGTTCAAGTTAACGTAAAAGCAGACGCCACAGGGAAAACGCTGGATTGATTTACTCAACAGATACAAACACTGACAAAATCAAGCCTTGATTAACTATTAAATAGGGAACTAGAAGACAAGACATTAACATTTTGATTTTATACAAATAATGCAATTGCATCTATGTAATTCTTTTTTTTTTTACCTAGTAAAACATTCTAGCCTTATCCTTTAACCTTGTATGGTGTTAAATCATCCAGCTTTGACCTGCTAAATAATTTAACATGTATTAAATGTTGTATTTCTCTGTTTGGTCTAAATAAGAAAGAAAACTTTTGTGTAAAAGTTGTTTTAACCTGGGGTTTCAAATTCAAGTCTGAGAAAAGTGTCTCTGAAAGCCATAAGGGGGCACTAGTCTGCACTTCATGTCTCTATAAACCTGGCCCTTTTGTTTATATATGGATGGCTCTTGCCTCCAGAACTGGTTGAGCACACTTAGTGATTAGTGGCTTGCGGTTTTTCCTGAGAAGTTGTCACACTTAAAAAACGGTTTACTTCCTGAAACTACCTGGTGTGTTGTTGTTGTGTTACATTATAATCTGAGTGAGAGAAGTTCACTTTCAGGCCTCTTCCTTCTCGGATGCACATGGCTGTTTAAACCTGTGTCGTAACATGAAGCGCCAGCTGTATAGTAGCTGCAGTGGCACTGAATGGACTCTCTGTTTCAGCTCAGCCTTGTTGTGTGTGAAACTGGAAACAATGGGCGTCCAATGAGACAAGAAGCATGTTTCTTAGTCCTGAGCCGTCGGGAGGGAGGAGGGTAGAGGCCTTTGTGCGTGTGTGTGTGTGCAAGAAAGAAGAGGGGAAGGTGGCTAGAATGATGTGTGTTTGTGGAGCAGGATAAAGTGGGTGTATAAGTTGTTTTTCATGTGGATGCTTTGGTTTAGGCCTGTTTAGAGAGACAGAAGTCAGTGGAGCAGCCGTGACTCAATAAGCCAATCTGCTGATAAATGTCGTCTACATTGGTTTTAACCTGCGGGTAAGAAATTAAATCTACCTCCTTGAAAGCTTTATGTCCCTGTAGGTTTCTTTCTAAGGCTGAGAGTTGGAAGGACTAATGAGGCTTTTTTTACTCTGCTTTTGTTGTTTTCTTCCTCTCTGTGGCGTTAAAAATATAATCAATTTTGGTTTCAAAAAACTGGGTCGTGGCATTTAGTGTTTTGTCTGAGCCTTTCATGGTTTCGCTCATTTCCGGGGCTTAGTGTTTGTGGGTTATGTGTCACACAAAAACACGCACATGGCAAATGTGTGTTCGTGTGTAAGCTCACACTCAGTTAACGCAGCCCCACCCTGCTCATTATGTCCTCTGCCAAAAACCCTGAGGAGGTTTCTCTCTTCTCTTTCCACACAAACCCTGTAATGTGATGATGGTCATATTCACATTCTATTCAACAGCTATACTTAACTTTACCTCTTTTCATCCCATTCACCTCCTGCTTTTTCCACGGCAGTCCCTTTTCTTTCAAGAGTACAAATCCTGGGTGTAGCCCTTCTCGGACACCAGGGGGCAGAAGAGAACCATTATAAAAGTGAGAGATCACAATAGGCCTCCAATAACTTTCTTTATATCCATTAGAATTAGAGTGAAGCTTGTTTTTTAAACATTTTGTGCAACTACAGAAAAATGATCAGAATTATCTCGTTCTCTCAAGAATTTAGTACCTTATTGAAGGAATAAATGAAAGTTTGTTTATATTATAAAGTGTTAGGGCTGATTTTAAATAATATGATGATATTTTTTAAATAAATTAGATAAAGGAGGAGGAAAGTGAAAATAGGATCTAAGAAAGCAATAAATAAGTACAATGCTGTATTAAGGAAATACAAACAAACATAAAATAGAAATAATAAATACAATGTGTACAGAATATATGTGCTTCAGTGAGACCTTACCTTTAAAGTTCTCCCTACTCCTTTACTCTGTCTTATATTTTTCTCATGTCCCTACGTTGTGCACACGTACTAACTTATCAAACTTATCAAAGCGCCTCTCGTACCATCACTTTAATAACACAACCACTTTGTGATAAGGTTATAGTGACGTTAACTGATTTTATGGCACCTTCAATATCTTCAGCTATCACTTCTCTGGTCCTACAGAGACGTGATGGGCCTCCCAACAAGTCCAGTCAAGTTATTTGTAAAACAAGTTTAAAAACAACAATAAGACATTGAATAAATAACTCAATGAATAAAAGTCTTCGCTCAACACAACTGAACAGCTGTTTTATTGTGGTATTTTTTGTCAGTGCATGTCTTTCTCTTGTTTTTCTATCAATTGCCCAAAACCAAATTGCCTTCAGGGAAAATAAAGGTGTATTATTGTGTACTGAGTTCTGAATTAAAAACAAAACATAGTAAAATATTGAAAAAAACTGTAAAAACAAAAAAGCTAGAGAGTAAAAAAATAGGATTATTTTATCTCATCTGCACCTGATGTAGACTGATACAAGAAATTCAAAAACTGAGGCATGACAACGTCAAAGCATTTTCATTTATTCCATCTTTATCGAGTCCCTCCCTGTAATAAACTTATCATAGCACTTCTGTTGTGATGCACATGCTGACAGTTCGGGCCTCTCTTGAAACGTGCCTGTTGTAAAATGTGCAAACTTCTATTTTAAAAGAAAAGGAGAAGAAAAAAGCCTCTGTTCCCCTCTCTCCTCCTCCTCTCTGGATGTGTGGAGAGGCTGAGCTTGAGCTTTAAACATCCGTGATATTTGAGGCGCTCCAGGGATTTCGGGAGCATGCCCAGTGCTCTCTCTCTCCCTCCCTCCCCCCCCCTCTCTCTCTCCTTTCTCTCTCTCTCTTTTTTCCCTCTCTCTGTCTGTCCCCCTCCCTCTCTCTTTCTGTCTCTCTCTCTCTCTCTGTTTGTGTCTCTCTCTCTCTGACTCTCCCTCTGTGTCGCTCTCTCTCTCTCTCTGACTCTCCCTCTGTGTCCCCCGTCTCTCTCCCCCCTCTCTCTCTGACTCTCCCTGTGTTGCTCTCTCTCTCCCCTCCCTCCCTCTCTCTTTCTGTCTCTCTCTCTCTCTGTGTCTCTCTCTCTATCTGACTTTCCCTCTGTGTCGCTCTCTCTCTTCTCTTTCTCCCCTCCCTCTTTTTCTCTCTCTCTCTCTCTATATCTGACTCCCACCCCTCCCTCTTTTTGTCTCTTTCTCTCTCCCCTCCCTCTCTCTTTCTMTCTCTCTCTTTCTGTGTGTGTGTGTGTGTGTGTGTGTCTCTCTATCTGACTCTCCCTCTGTGTCGCTCTCTCTCTCTGACTCCCACCCCTCCCTCCCTCCCTCCCTCTCTCTCTCTATCTGACTCTCCCTCTATCTGACTCTCCCTCTGTGCCCCCCCCCTGTCTCTCTCCCCCCTCTCTCTATCTGACTCTCCCTCTGTGTCGCTCTCTCTCTTCTCTCTCTCTCCCCTCCCTCTTTCTCTCTCTCTCTCCCTGACTCCCACCCCTCCCTCCCTCCCTCCCTCCCAGCAGCAGCAGCACAGACAGAGGAACCAGTGGTGCGGTCATACCGAGCTCAGCCTGCGTGTCAGTGCAGTCGACTTACAGCTGGCTGTGAGGACAACTGACGCTCTCCCTCCATTCTGCGACACAAACTCTGTCAGAACAACTCACCAGACTTCGATCCTCTCCGCTGATTTTTAAAATATTAATAAAGTTGGGTTTTATAGGAAACTGAAGTTGGAGGCTGGGCCTTTAGCTTTTTGACCGAGCGGAGAAAAAGAAGAAGAAGAAAAAAAAAAAGCTGGTCTTTTCTTTTTTCCTAGTTTAAAAAGTCGATAAATGCTTCTCACGAAAATGGACCTGTTGAACTACCAGTACCTGGACAAGATGAACAACAACATCGGTATTCTCTGCTACGAAGGTAAAACAACGTGACGCAGCGCTGCGGTGTGGACGTTATTTACGCTGGAGAGAGAAGTTGGAGGAGTTTTACTTCAGCGACGCAGTTTTCACTCAGCGTCACTTTGCTAAACTTTGAGACAAAAGCTGTGTGTTACAAAAACTACACGTTAGTTAGTTTGATACTTGTGTTCTCGTTTTAAACTCGTTATAACTTTTCTACAGTTTGAACTCTGAGCGGAGTTTAAACCGTGAGCAGCGTTAGCTTAAACTCCCACTTATAAGTGTTAGCTCGCTAGCTAGAGGACCGTGCGTGTGTTTATTAGCCTCTCGTATCGTTGCCTGTGTTATTGACTACTTCCCAAAGGAAGACTCGGCTATTGATTGAGATCACAGGCGGAAATAACAGCCTGTGATCTGTGATATGTGGATGTCATGTCTCTCCTCTTGTGTGTGACTCACTGTGTTGCTCTGATTCTTTGTTATTCACGCCAGCTCCTGTGATCTATGTGGTTAAATATCTGCCTGAGTTGTGTTGTGATCCACAAATCTGTCTGTGTGCTTTTGATAAATCCAGGGATTCTCCTTTCTCTACTGGAGTTATGTCCAGCAGCAGCAGTGTAGGGTTTCTTATTATGTCATGTACACAGAGCAGGAGTTTCCAGGTCTTTGCAAAGTGTACAATGTGACTCCTGCTCTTCTCACATGTCAGCCATTACAGTATGTTATCATCCAGTCCTGGGAGCCAAACACAACTCCTTCCCCTGCCCCGTCTCTTGACTTTCACTGCAGTATGTGCAATTTAATCAGCACTGACAAAACTTAACTTTAGCCTCAGATGTGAGTCTGCAGCCTTGTCTTTTTAAATGAAGAATCCTGCAGAGGATCTTTCAGGAACTGGTTGGATTGTAAATATTGATAAGTTGTTGATGGTAGTGAGTAACGATGAAGGTAGAGGTAGCACAACATTTTTAAAAGCTGAAGACAAAGCCAAAGCATTTTCATGATTGTCTTCTTGTTTTTGTCCCTCTCTATAATAAACTTGTAATTGCACTTGTGTTGCCAATGCACATTTTGCCAGGTTTGCATGTCAGAGGTACAGCCAGGGTTTAGGCTGATGGCCATTTGTTATGAGCAGGTACGTAAGAGATGTATCTGCAAAATGATAAATACAGAGATGAGTTCCTGCAGAAACTGACTGGGCTCTCCTGTGGTTGAGCATGTGATAAAACCCTCTGTCAGTGGCGTTTTGTGTCTGTTTTTAAATTGTTTCGAGAGGGAAAAATAAGTGTTGTCTTGCTGTTATTCATGTTTGGCAAATAGCAGGTAGGAGTCCTGCTCTCAGGCACATTACTTTCTGAGTTCTGTCCCTTGGGGACACATGGCATTCCTGGGAAATTTATAGCTCCAGTTTGCTTTGCCTAAAGCTCACTCTTCTGTGCAGTGATAGATAAGGACGCCTGCCACCACTGGCCTGGGATTGAAGCCAATCAGAGGGGGTGGGGCGGTGGGGTCTGCGTCTCTCCAAAGCTTCACCTTTCTCAGGTTTCATCCCGTCTATCTCAGTGAAGAAAAATACAAGAGTGAAGGAGGAAGGGGTGGTAGTTTTTACTTTCATGTACTCTGGGTTAGAGATGAAACAGGACACATTTCATTCCACAGTTATAGTGACCAAGTTATTATGGTTTTCTGTATTATCAAAGAAGTGTTAAAAGTACTCATACACACATTACTATTATTATTAGTCTCTAGAAAACACACATGCAGTCACACAGTGTATATTGTTGAATTTGATTTAATACATATATGCAAATGAGTAAGAAGACAGTGACAGTGATTGCATAGAACTAGACTGACATGACTACAGAGGAGTGTTTTATAAGAGTCTTTAGTCTTTCACCTGCTGTAACACTTTTACTACCAAATCAAGTACTACTGGAATGGAAATTAAACAAATATGTTGCTTGGGCGACTAAACATAAGATACTATCAGTAAACCTGCCTGTTGGCTTCTTTAGCAGGGTTTTTCTCTTAGCATGTTCTGTCAATTTGGTGACCATATTGTGATCAAGTTCCCTTAAGCTCTCTTATGAAAACCAAAATAAAACCACACTTCAGACTTAGAAAGCTATAAAAGTGTCTGCCAGGGCCTGCCGCCATATTGTTTGCTGGACCTTTGCCTGCTTTGGTTGATCTACACAGTGTTTACCGTGATAGTGTGTTAATCCAACATGGTTTATATGACAATCAAAATTTGAACTGGTAATACTAACCACTTGGTCTTAACCAGGAATGTATAATCATTTCATCCCTCCTCTGTGTGTGTCTCTTCTGACATGCTGATTTCAGACACAATACTTTATTTATCTATCTGTGGAAGCTCATCTCTGCAGGATTAGCCCATCTATTTGTTTTTCTGGGTTTTGTGTGTGTTGTTTTTAGCTGACTGAGCTAAAATTTGAATCCATGTGCCTCATGATAAGAAAACAAAGATTATAATAACAGGGAGAAGGGCCAATCAGTAAAAAGCATGAAAGAGAAGCCCTCCTTGTTCAAACATGTTGAGCCAAGAAGGGGCTGGGGGAGCTTTGTGATATTATGGGTGTGCTGACTTTTTATTGTGTGCATGAGCATTAATGCTTTGATACATTCCCTGACAAACAACGTAATATATACTCATGCACCATCTTGAGAGCTTTATTTGTATTCTAAAAGCTCTCACGATTTTGTCATCATTTACTAGCAACTACAGCTGTGACATAGAACCAGTTATTTCATACTGTACATGTTCTCACACACACACACACACACACACACACACACACACACACATATCACAGCAGCTTTTTTTTGTGTTAATATAATATTACACACACATCACAATCTGGATAACCACAGTACCAAGTAATTGTTGGATCAAATGTTTGAGTAGTTTGAACTATCCTGAACTCTAGTAATGGAAGATTTAATGTTTCATTTGAGGATCTATCATCTTGTCTATGCGATTAATCGGAACGTTTTTTGGCTGATTAATTGAAAGATAAAGTTTAGTATTAGTCAATTGATCCATACTCAGTTTCCTGTGAGCCTTTTCTGGCACATGAATGCAAAAAGAACTGACTTTGGCATTCATTTGCTGTTGTAAATGAAGAAGTGAATAGTATTAGTGTCTGTTGAAGTTTGGTTGATTGAAGGGAATTGTGATGTTCATCTACAGGATCTATTCAATATTATCTATCTTTTGTGTATTACTTTCTGTCTGTATTCATGAAGTCTTCTTAAGTCAGGGTGTAGAGAAAACAGCAGTCTCTTCTTGTGTTGCACTGTTTGGTGGCTGGATGTATCACAATGTGATGGATGGTATAAGTTTACATAGTCAAAAGTGGTTTTGAATGGGTAAAGGTTCTGTGAATTTATGCTAACAGATAAAAGTACAGAACCCTGTTCATTAGGCAGCAATGAAGGGCTGGAGTGCAAAGGTAGATAACTACCTGCATCAGTAGCTGCTTTAGGGATTAAACTCGGTTTTTGGTAATTGTTTGTGGCAGTTAATTTGCTCTCAGATTCTGTTAAAGTATATGTACTTTTTGACTTCCCTGTGGTTTTCATTTGTTCTCTGTTTGTCAATATGTTCATCTATATCTCTGTTTCCCACCTACCCTTCTCTCTCTGTAAAGCTACTATCAGTAGTAGGCCCAACAGTGACGGGGTAGCAGGGGAATGCTGACTGTCCCCTTTTGCTGCTGAGCAGCACAAAATAAACAAGATGGAAAACTTCCTCAGAACCCTGCACTGTTGCACTGTTGTAAGCCTTTCTCCTTTGTCTGTTTGTTTAGCTCCTCTCCTTTCCTCTGTCAGAGATCAAACCGATCTAACATCCGGAGATATCACATCACACAACACAGACATGAACCTCCATGGAGGAGTATTTAAAGCCTAAACCTCTATAGACTTAACAAAAAAAGGCAGCCCAGAGGGCCAAGTTCAGGTTGCAGAGAAACCAAAAATAATCATTTTCTGCTTTGCAGAGAGCAGATATCATTCTCTCATCTTTTTTTAAGTATCAGAAGGGGGGATGAAAGAGAGGGGGGG